TCTGCTGCTTTACGTCCCAATGTAATCAGATAAAGTAAAAAAAGTTAAGTGAAAACTGCAGTAGACAAACAGTTTTTTAATTAATAAATCAGATTCTTTTAAGCTTGTGGTTACACCGACTTCTTTGGATTACTGGGTTTGCAATTTTATTTCGTTGTTAGAAAAAAAGGTGGCTCATCGCTGGTTTATCCGCTTGGCCTACTTGAACGGCTTGAAAAGTTTCACCTTGACCTTGAGTTCAAACACCTCACCACGTCCAAAGTATGCTTCAACTGTTTAAACTTCTCGTGCTCATACAGATCAATGTAACTCCAGGCATGTTTGAATGACTTGCGAACGAACCCATCACTACTCTCGAGGCGGATTGAACGACGCCGGGGCGTGCTGTACGGCGCAAAGATCGCAGAAAGACGGGTTTTCAGCGCTCCGGAACCGTTATTCACGATCGATTTACGAGCGCGATATCTCACCGGTGGCTCGTTAGGTCGGACGTGCCGACAAAGGAAACAGATTCTACCAGAGAACGAGCCAAGTTTACCTCGGCTCGCTGGGGTCCCGAAAAGTTGCGCGCGTGGGTCGTGAGAATTCCAGGGGTGCGAGACATCGCGCCGCGCGCGATATATCGTGGCTTCATTAATAATAATAGCACGACGTGTTTGATTCTCGAGCGGCTTTCTTTGTCTTAACCCTCGAGAAGGCTATCCTCATATTGATTACCATTGATTTTTCCTGATACGCTCCCGTCGAAAGATTTATTGTCTGTTTACGACGATAAATCTTGAGTTATTAATTGAAGTTCACGTCGAGTTTCTCCGGGGTGAATCGGGATGGGACATGTGACCGGATGGGAAATGAACATATGTATGAGTTGAAATAAATCGACTTTAGAGTATAACCGTTTCGTATGGAATTTTGCTTCTGTGAAAATTTACCGAGCACGAGTAATTTTGTATATCGCTAATTAGAGCGCTTGTGAATCACTTGGTATTTCTACTTATAATAATAATAATAATAAAAATGTAAATTTATTTTACGGGAAGTCCCTTTTGTTACATGAGAGAAATACGGAATATACAGTATAGTACAAAATATTACCTTAAACAAACTACTTTAAAGTATAGAGTATAGAGTATAGAGTATAGAGTATAGAGTATAAAGTATAGAGTATAAAGTCACACGGGTAAAGTACTAGGAAGAAAATGTGGAATAAAACATAAAGATGGGTAGGGCTTAAGGAAAAGGAAGAAGAAAAGATGAGAAAAAGAAATTATGAGAATTCACGAATAGCGGCACAAGCAAAACGCCTAAAGGAGTTTAGAGAAGTGTTGAAAAAGTTAAGGGAGTTGCAAAAGTTGTTAGAGGTAATGAAAAGTCGATTGAGGCAGTTATGATGACCGTAATGACTTCGATGAGTTATAAGTAGACTACGGATGTTCATGCTAATATAGTAGATTTTTGTGCGGTAGTTTAAGAAAATTGGAATCCCAAAAGAATTTATTCTAATTATTAAGAGGGAGATTCTGAGGACAGTAAAAACCTTACTAATTTTTGTTATACAACTTATAGCTCGCCGGCGAATTTTATACATTTATAGCGTACTCAATTTTCTGAAATTCTGTATATTACGAAGTTTGATCAATTTGTATAGGGTTTTCGTTGTACATATATGGGATTTGATAAAAGCGATGATGCAGTAAAGAAATTCTTGTTTGTTTCTAGTTCGCGTAAATAAATGTTTGAAGATTGATGTTTGTATAAAGATCCACTGTCTACTTATAGTAGTTCGTTTCAGATAATTGTGCACGCTATAATTCCAAAAAATCCGCAATATACTTAGAATCATTAATAAGCGTATTATACAGTATTATATGTTTTCTGTGAATTTATATCAAAATATTGTCAAAAAGAATAATGTCACACCGTTATGAATGTTTACAAACACTAACGAGAGTAGAAATGACCAGTACAGTAAATCATCGATGAGTGTGCGAAGGGTCCTCGGTACTGAACAATTAAATATTTCATAAACTAATAGCCATATGCGGCTGAAACAAATATCATTGACTTCAGTATTTAAGCTCTATCATTGTGCTAAACCTCATTAAAAAGTCAGCGTTACATCTGGAGACCTCTCCTTGTCAGTGCCGAGGAGCCTTCGAACACTCATTGATGATTTACTGTATTTCTTGAATGGGAAGTTACACCTAATAAAGCTCAAAAGATAACACCCTATACCATGACCAACTGAAGGCTAATCATCCAACAATTAATACGTCTTTATTACATATTCAGTTATAAAATAAGAAAAAGTTTGTTTGTCATCGAGAAGAGCGCCCCTCACAAATAATCAAGAACGGTGTTTTAAACTGCTGTTTCTCTTTCCAAATACGATTTGTACCAAGAAGCATTCTCGACAATAAATACATACATACGTTACCGTGGGACGTTTCTGTATTAGTTCAATTGGGTGGCAAGTTGGCCCATTCACCGGTTTCGGAATGCGGGTACCAATATTCCGGCCAAGACAAATTCGCAGTCCGTAAGAATTTCATCTTACGATGATAACACCGCGCTCGAGATCCACCCGGCGGAATTACGACGATGGTATTCGTCCAAGAACGGTACAAACTTTTACTGATATTAATGGCCGCCTACATGGCCATTCTGTTCCTCGATGGCTTAGCAGGGATTCCTTGAGTTATAAGCCTCGAATTCTCCGCTATTAATTCTCGTGAGGGTCTCCGGTTACTGGCACAGGCGCAAACCCCCGTCCCCTGAGCAACCACCCCATCGCGTTGTTCCGGGTACACCTGCACTCGATATCCGGCATTAGGTGTTATCGTTATTTGCCATGCGAACGACGGCAAATTTTATCGACCCGCATTTTAGTCGGTAATAGAACTTCGATATGCATAAATTGCAAACGACGCGGCAACCCACCTCGCTTCACCAAGCCCCTGGCCGACGATTCGCCTTCGACGACCGATAATCGAGCCCATTCACGTAACCGAACCAGACGGCCTCGAGAATTCAATGTATTCTTCATTGCACATGGGCTCGAAATAATGCAAACCGCTGTTGCATGCGCCTCTTCCAGCAGGGAATGAGAAAATATCGTTAAACTCGGGGAATACGTTTCTTATCGTATCTGTAATTCGTGCAATTCTTCGCAGTCTCTCGAAGTGGTTTGAATGTGTAAATATCGAGTAGTTAGGTTATCATTTGTTTGTGATTTGATAAATGGAAATTAGGAATATTGACTGATTGATAATGTAAAATTGAGTATTAGCATTCCTTCGCTATAGTGGTATGAGTCTGAGATTTTGCAATTATTCGATTGGTTTTCTTTATTTTCTATACAGATAAATGTAAGGTCATAAAAGTGTACAGTTTACTGAATTTTTCATAGAACTCTCCATAATACTATAAAGAACAAATTAGGTCTTATGTAAAAAGAGTACAGATGACCAATCTTGCAGAAATCACAGTCCGTCAAGCAGCTCCTAAATACACCTTCGGAACGCATTTGTTCTTCATGTTCGCATAGTAGCGGTGATTGGGTCCGTTTGCACTGTACTTTCTACTTTTTAAACGTTATTTTCGAACGCAATCATTCAAGATGACCTACTTCCTTATATGACTTAATATGAATAACTCCTAGCTTAAATACGATTCATAGATTGATGAGTTAGATGGAGCTTTTAGAAACTGGGGTCCATATGAATCCAGGCACCACCGTGCGAGGGTTAAAAGATCAGCAAATTATGAAAAGAAAGTTGTTTATATAAATTTTCAGAGCTGATTATGGCAGACTTTGACATCATTTTTCTGGCCGATACTGAATTTCTCGGATGGGAGACCATGTCAATCTTCAGAAAGATGAATCCTATAACTTCCAACCATTCCTTTTTCAAAACTAATTTAACATCCGAGTAACTTTTCTTGTCAGTATAATCAGTAATCCCCGATATAGGTACTCATATAGGCACTCACACACAAAAGTGTTGTAGGTCCCTGAAATGCATCACTCGTGAGGTGATTTGAAACAAATTTTTCCTTAGCAAAAATGTTATTCAAGGTTTTGTTAACGAGACATTAACCAAAAACCCCGACCAATCAGAGTGCGAGTCTGTCGGCCGAGCTCCCGCGGTATCGTTCACTACCAATCGCAGCGCATAGCCAACACTCGAAATATTTTAAAAGCATATTTATCGACACACCACCAATGCTTCCAAGGGCTCGATCATCCTATTGACAATGAAACAAAAGTATCCTATTAACCTTTAGAAAACAAGAACCCTATTTTTAAGCTCCAGATGAACGCTTATTTTTCGTAGTGCAACACTATAACAAATATATAAAAGTTCCAGCTTTAAATTATAAAATGTCATGAAAAGAACCTGTCAATCCTCTAAAGGTTAACAATGAAATAAAAATATCCTATTAACACATAACCGACGAGTGAACCACAACTCTATACACAACTCAAACTTCTCACTGTCTGAAAAAAAAGAAACGTGATCGTTTGAACCCTGGGTCCGAGGTGTCTCGTACTTTCCCTGTTCGCAACGGACGCGTGACGTGAACAAAACCGTAAATAACCGCGGGTTTAGTCCTGGGTGCCGGACAATATTGTATCAAGATAGGCCCGTCCGTTCCTGGTTCCTGGTAGCCTGGGATACATTGGCGTCCTTGTAACGCTGCCGTGTTCCCCTATGAAACAATTTGATCGGTCCCGGCGATACGGAAACGTTAAGGCAGTCCTTCCTACCCAGGCGCAGCGTTCCTGGGTCTCCCATCTCGAAGGAGGCGGAACGGTCGTATACAAGAACGTAAACCGGCTCTATCCGCCGGATTCATCTCTGGTTAGCTGGTTATTTAGCCGTTTATGATCCAAAGAGGAAGGGGAGCGGGTTGCAGTCCAGGCACCGATACACACCCCTATGTAAATTCGTGGCGAACGGTTTAACCTGCAGGGGACCGTCCCTATTTTGTTTCAGCCCAATGCATCGCGCCGCTCGGCATGGAATCCGGCGCGATCCCGGACGCGGATATCACGGCCAGCTCTACCTTCGACACAGGAAACGTCGGCCCGCACCTAGCACGGTAAGCCTCCATTTTTCATTTTCGATTGCGAATGTGTACGTTCTTTTTGTGTCTATCTACAGTCTGTTTCGGAAAGGTGTGGACGCAATATCTGTGCAAAAACGATTATTTTTTATGAAACGCTTCATGTGTGTAGATCGAAGGTACATTCAGACAATTAATACGCATTCTCTTTCAAGGAACATCACTTCAGTGTAACACGCGAATTTTTATGCCGCTAAGAAATGTTTCATACGTGTTTTTTTTTAGTTCCTGATAGTCATATCTAGGGGATGAGAACAGCTCTCGAAGTTGTGGGTGAAAAATACATTTTTCTTAATATCCCGCAAATTATTCGACTTAGATAAGATGTTTGTTAATACAAATTGCGTATTTGTTTTCAGAATAAAAATAACTGCTCAAGTAATTTCTCGAAATACTAAAAAATAAAAAGTAATTGTTTAAACAAATTAGTATTTCGAAATCTACTTAAGCAGTTATGTTTATTATTGAAGAAAAACAGTATATTTTTGTTAACAAATATCTTTTCTAAGTCGAATAGTTTGTGAGATATTAAGGCAAATGTATTTTTTACTCACTACTTTGAGAACTGTTTTCACCCCCTATATGTGAATGCCAGCAGCTGCAAAAAAATACGTAGAAAATATTTTTCAAAATACTATCCTTGTACCAAACGGCATAAAAATCAGTATGTTGCGCTTGAGTGATGTCCCTTGTTAGTAGTGGGGTTAATCTCCTCCATTAGCGATTACCTATACATACTTTGGCAACGTCTCAGCATGTTTTCAATCAAATTGTCGGCGTACGAGATAGTGATTGGGCACCATCGACTAAATTAAACTATCGACTAATGACTATTTAATCGCAACATACTATCGACTATTTAGTCGATAGTTTTCAGCACCATTGGTGTATTTTCCTTTTAGAAATGTATAGTTTATAGATAGAATTTCAAAAATATAGGTGGTAAACAAGTTTTTTTAAACAATTACTAATATTCGATTTTTTGTAAGCTATTTAATATTGACACTTAAAAAATTAACTGCTTCAAATTTTTCATGTAAATCAATTAGGTTATAAGCAATAATTTGCACAGTTCTTGATAATGCATAAAAAAATATATGAAAAAATTGAATTGGTTTGCATATAAAAATAGGATTCTTTCACAACATATTGTGACAGACGGGAAGGTCAGATACTTTAGGACTTTTTACTATACCCGATGTAAAGTAATACATCTAACACAGTTTTGAAGACTTCATAAAAATTATTGAAACGTAATAAATATTCACATAATTATACTGATGTAAAGTAATACATCTAACACAGTTTTGAAGACTTCATAAAAATTATTGAAACGTAATAAACATTCACATAATTATACAAAAAAATGTCACAATTCATTCATCATTTTACACTCTTTAATATATGTTATCAGTTATGGGATTTAATATACATACTATTGTAAAATGTTCACTAGAAATGCGTCTCTTCAACAGTCGTCACTTACATTATCATGCGAATGTCTAGTTCTAATACTATTTTTTCTATTTAAAGTAACGAAAAAAGTATAAATGACGATAGTTTCTAATAGACTGACTCTTCTAGTATTACTTTTATGTAGAAATTTGAATGATTTCGACAACAACAAAATTGATCAAATGTCCGAGAATGTCTTATGATCGGCCCACTGTGCGTCGGCTCGTAAAAGGGAAGCCGCCGCGGCGCGCCAGACAAAAAATTATACGCTTGACCGGTTCCACGGCTCCCTTCCCCAGTGGTGGGGATGCCGACTTTACACTTATCGTGAGCAAATCGACTCACACTCATCGAGACATTACTGTATCGTTTTCTCTAAAATCGTGATTTTTTAGTTATGTCATTATTGCAGTAAGTGAACGATACGTTTACATTATCACAGTCTGCTCTTTATTGGGTATCAACTTTCAGAGATATCGCGTCCACGCTCTTATGGTACAGACTGTATCTATCTATTTGTCTTTGTCTTTCTCGATACCATTAGTCATTCGTGTCTACCGGCAGCCGCCTTCTGTTACGTTGGTTGGGCGCCATCAAATCGTAATCGGGCGGTGCACACTATACCAGAACGTATCGCAGGCCTCGAGCCTTCGTTGCGGGGGTGCGTTCCGTCTTTACAACGCGGTTATACGGCAGCTTGTATCCGCGAATAACTATTATAACGATGGATCATCGCGCGAGCAAGTTCGTAACGGATGGCTGATGGGGCAAGGGCAAACTTGAGAGCAGCTGCCCCGATGGAAAGTTTTACTGCCACGGGGTTGGAGGGATGGGGTTGTGGTTTACCAGGGGAAAATAATAGAAAAAGGTTTCGGGAGCTTTCATTTCTTTTGAGGAGTTCTTCTTTCTCGCGACGGAGCCAAGAGAACGGATCTGTGTTATGTTTCCTGCAATTGTGAACCTTGATTGCTCTGGTCTGGTTTCATAGCTCTTGTAGGATCTGGGATCGTGACTGATCTTATCTTTATTCGTGAGTTTTTTTATCAATCATTGCATTTGTCTTATTACTTTGGATTGTGTATCGTTTTGTTTTACATTTCGTGATCAGAGACATCTTCGGTTTTTTCGTAATTGTGAATAGTATGAATGATAATTGTGTTGCTGAAAAATAAGAAATGATGTTGAACGCACAGACCAGTTGTATCAGTTACACTTATGTACACTGACTATTTAATTTTATATTTTCGTGAAAAAACCGAACTCTGTCTCATCTCAGATTGTTACCATTGTTGTCGATAATTAACAGGTTAAGTGCTAAATAACACCCACGAAAAGTCCATGAAGTGGAACCTATTCTTTTAAGGGGTTGTGCTTACCTGCGAGCTCGAAAAAAGACATATACTTTCGGAATTTTTTTTTAAAAAACTTGAAGATTATTTTAAACATACGTCATTGTATTCGAAAGTGTACATTTTAAAGTGCTTATAATAATTTCTTCAATGCAAAAAAAAGTATAAATAGGGGAAATATCAGCGATCTCCCGGCGGCGTTTTTATTTTAGGCGTTTTGCGGTGACCACTGTAACTTTTAGTTCGCTTATCTAAGATAAAAAATCCGAACATATTTAGTTAATATATTAAATTATCTAGTACCTGATCGTTCATTATCCTGAAAAATTAATTTACCATAAAATGTCGGCTGTTCAAAATCGAAGTATCGATTTTCGTCAAAAAAATCGTTCATTTTTTATCTATAATATTCTATAAAATACAAACTACGTAATGAAGTACAAAAAGCCATTATCAGGCACTAGATTTTTATGTATAGAATGAGTCCACCAAAGCTGAATCAGTTCGATGCCGTGGTTCTCGAGATATTTTGGTTACCGATTTAGAAAACGTAGTTTTGAGACAAACACGTTCAAAGTTTCAAGTCAGGTTTACAACCGAATCAATGCAAATTGTTTATATATAGTTATTTTTAGTATTGCGGCTTCATATAGCTTTGTGTATTTACTAACACAACCAGAAATTGCATTGGGGCACAGTATTCATGACTCACGCACCCCTAGTAAGGAATTCTACCACTTTATATCTGCTCCGAAACTTCCAAGGCCGTATATGTACTTTAAACGGGCGTGACTCCGCCAATTTTGGTCAGATCAACTTCAAACTTTCACACAATATTTCTAAAATGATATACTGTAAGAAAATATTAAAACCCAAAAATCGATTTTTTAAAATGTATAGGTTGGCATAACCCCTTAATGATACAAGGCTACTTGTAAACCAAGATTTGTTAGAGTTTTAACTTTATTGAATTTCATAGGCCTTCACAAAATTTATTGTACTCAATGTGTTGTCATAAAGATTAATTTTTATTTGAGAATCAAACATTGTGTCACTTATAATATGGGTGACGTGGTGATCAAAGTGTTAATACAATTAGTGCAAAAGAAATACTACCTCTTAAAATTCTAAAAGCTTGTGTCATTTTTGCAGAAAATTTAATGAGAAACCTGTATAGGGGAATGACTAGATTTGTTAGCTTTATTTCTGGTTTACTTATTATTAATTTGTAAGGATAGAAGTTACACTAAATTTTACAGATTTTTTAACCCGCTTACCTCATCTTTTTGGTATCCTATGCAGAAATTTGTTTTCTTAAAGAGTCATTTTAAGACTATTTAAAACGTTTAAAAACTTTTTTTATAGACAACATATTTACTCACGATGAACAACGAGCTAGTAGTCACACTAAGACCTTGTTTCTAATGTTTGGATGTCATTCGTACTACCAAGCGTCAAAAAATGTTCCAAATATTGTCACTAAAGTGATAAAGTAGGCATAGACCCTGATGGACAAATGCAGTTAGCAGGTTAAACAAAATTCATTGAGTTTAAAATAAAATAAAGACACCTTTAGTTCTATAGTATTTTATACATATAATCCATTATGCTATGAATACATAAACATTCGTAGTCCACCAATGACAGCATCAAACCTAAATACTTCATTATAATTTTTGATTAATTACCACCATAAACAGCAGACTTACATCAAACATTCAGGAAACTCTCCACCCAACATTAAACCCTTGCTGACACCATGAACTACACAGAAAAACGGAACAAAAACCTTCAACGTATTTCTATAAAACAGATCTATCCTGTTCTCCGTTAACGTGCAATGTACAGTGGTTATCTAATAAGTCATTAACATGTTACAGCCCACACTAAAGCGGAGTGCCGCGCGAAATAGCGATTTACTTGCGGGAACCGAGGCGCGCGCGATACGAAAAACTAAATCAGAGGTTTATGCGGCGAGACAAGTAGGCAGTTTAATCGGTCGAATGTACACGACACCGACGAAAATTAATACTTCAGGATTCATTAATTGTGACGCGTTCATGAATACTAAAAACCGTCGTTCCCGACGCTCGTTAATACGTGAATCCGGTTTATCGGGTTCGCGTGCGCGCACAGTGAAAGACGTTTATCGCCGGGTAAACAAAGAGAGCA